CAGAGAACTGCCCAGAGGGCTTCCAAGGCTGTCATTTTTACTGAAGCCAGTTGCCACATTTCTCCAGCAGAGCGGCTGCAAGGTTTGAACACTGACCCTCCAATGAGCAGTAAAGCACTTAGCCACTGTGTGACCAGGGCACCTTAGGCACTGTTGTTGTTGTCGTCGTTGTAGGTACCGTAGAGTCGGCTCCAACTCACAGTGACCCCACGTACAACAGAACACCACCCAGTCCCATGCCAGCCTCACGATCCCTGCTACACCTCAACTCACAGTGACCCCACGTACAACAGAACACCACCCAGTCCCATGCCAGCCTCACGATCCCTGCTACACCTCAGCTCATCACTGCAGCCACCGTGTCAAACCATCTCGCCGAGAGTCTTTCCGGTTTTCGCTGACCCTCCACTTTTACCAAACATGGTGTCTTTCTCCAGGGTCCCTTCTGACAATGTGACCAAAGTAGGTGAGACGAAGTCTGGCCACTCTCACTACCGAGGAGCATCACGGCTGCACTTCCTCCAGGACAGACTTGTCCCTTCTTGTGGCCGTCCGTGCTATTGCAGCATAGTCTTCACCAGCACAATTCAGAGGCATCGACTCTTCTTGGACCTTCCTTATTCATCATCCAGCTTTCACATGCACATGAGACAACTGGAAACACCAGGCCTTAGGTCAGGGGCACCTCAGTCTCCACAGTGACATCTTCCATCTTCAGCACCTGAAAGAGGTCTTTGTGGCAGATTTTCCCAGTGCAATACAACGTCTAATTTCTTGACTTCCGCTTCCATGGGTGTGGATTGTGGATCCAAATAAAATGAAATCCTTGGCAACTTCCATCTTTCTCCATTTGTCATGTTGGTTGTCGGTCCCGTTGTGAGGATCTGTGTTTTGTGTTGAGGTGCAGTCCACACTGCACATGTCTAAGCTCCAGCAGTAAGTGCTTCGAGTCATCTTCACTTTCAGCGAGCAGGGCTGTGTCAACTGCATAGAATCCTTCAATATTGCAACTTGAGACTTGAATTTTTCTTCAGGTTTTTCAGCTTGAGAAATGTTGAGAGTGTTCTTCCTTTGTGGTTTTCTAACTCCAGGTCTTTGCACATTTCATTACAGTAACTCACTTGGTCTTCTTGAGCCACCCTTTGAAATCTTCTCTTCAGCTCTTTTAACTTGTCGTTTCTGCCATTAGCTTTAGCTACTCTCCGCTCAAGAGCAAGTTTGAGAGTCTCTTCTGACATCCATTTTGGTTTTTTCTTGTCTTTTTAATGACCTCTCGCATTCTTCATGGATGATGTTCTTGATGTCATCCCACAATTCTTCTGGTTTTCAGTCACTGGTGTTCAGTGGGTCAAATCTATTCCTTAGATAGTCTCTAAATTTGGATGGGATGTAATCAAGGTCATATTTGGGCTCTTGTGGACTTGTTTTAATTGTCTTCAATATCAAGTTGAACTTGCATATGAACAGTTGATGGTGTGTTCCACAATCAGCTACTGGCCTTGTTTTGGCCAAAAATATTGAACTTCTCCATCGCCTCTAGCCACAGATGTAGTCAATCTGATTCCTGTGTGTTCCATCTGGCGAAGTCCACATGTATAGCTGCCATTTGTGTTGTTTAAAGGTACTTGCAATGAATAAGGCATTGGTCTAGCAAAATTCTACCATGCGAGTTCCAGCATAATTTCTATGTCCAAGGCCTAATTTTCCAAATACCAGTGGTTCTTCTTTGTTTCCAACTTTTGCACTCCAGTCATCAGTGATAATCAACACATCTTGTTTGCATGTTCAGGCAATTTCAGACTGCAGAAGTTGGTAAAATCTTTAATTTCTTCATCTTTGGCTTTGGTGGTTAGTGAGTAAATTTGAATAACAGGAGTATTAACTGGTCTTCCTTGTAAGCATATGGATATTATCCTATCACTGACAGCATTGCACTTCAGGACAGATCTTGAAACATCCTTTGTGATGATGAATGCCATGCCATTCCTCTTAAACTTGTCATTCCTGGCATAGTAGATCATAGGGTTGTCTGATTCAAAATGGCCAAAAACAGTCTATTTCAGCTCCTTAATGCCTAGGATATCAACCTTTATGCATTCCATTTCATTTTTGACAACTTCCAATTTTCCTAGATTCATACTTCATACATTCCATGGTCCAATGATTAATGGATGTTTGCAGCTGTTTCTTCCCATTTTGAGTCGTGCCACATCGCAAACGGAGGTCCTGAAAGCTGTACGACACCCACATCATTAAGGCCGGCTCTCCTCTGAGGAGGCAGCTCTTCCAGTCATATTTTGACCTGAGGGCTCATCTTCCGGCCCTGTATCGGGCAGTGTTTCAGGGCCGTTGATCAAGTTTTCCAGTAATATATCAGACAGTGTTTCACTCCTATTCATAAAGTTTTCAATGGCCAATTCTTTGAGAGGTGGATGGTCTCTTCCTTCTCCTGAGTCTGTCCTAGTCTGGAAGCTCCGCTGAAACCTGTCCACCACGGGTCGCCCTGCTGGTGTCTGAAATATCAGTGGCACAGCCTCCAGCCTCACAGCAACAAACCAACCGCCACAGTACAACCAGCTGCAAAAGGGCTGGATGAGCCCCTGCTGACCCAGGTCGCTGAGGAGTGGGGGCTTCACGGTCCCCATTGGGCTGGAG